TCGACAGTAACATTTCATACAAACCATGAACCTAAAAAAATCGAAAAACACATGCCAACAGAACCTCGACAGTAACATTCCATACAAACCATGAACCTAAAAAAATCAAACAACTGCAGAAGAACAATTCCAACAGAACTTGATAGTATTTAATAGGTATTCAAACAAATGGCCCTAAATCATAACCATAAGTTATAAAATTCCAAGTCCAATACCTATCCTTATTCTAATAGGTGCAGCTAACATGGCTTATCAATTACTGAACAAATTGAATTCCAACAGTTGCAGTTAAACAATTCAAGAAGTTAAAAAATTGCAGAAGTTTGAAATGAGCTAAATAGTATAACAGGGGCAACTAGAAAAATCCCATTGCTTTTCTGCATTTTTGCCATTCCAAATGGATTCCAATAGGTACAACTAAACAAGAACAAAGTTTGCCACATTGCGAATAAGAATTTCTCCCATTGATCATCTGCATTTCTATCCTAAACCCTAAAAAACAAATGCAGGAAAAAAACCCATGAAAATACCTCATAATTGTAGGTCTTTGAAAAAACTCACGATAGAACTAAAGATAACCAAAATTTTCCCCATTTCCATCAACACTTTTCAACCTTAAACCAACAAAGGCATCAACCTTAAAGAAAAAAAAAACAATTCTTGCAAATAAAGTGAAGATAATCGAATATAAGGCCAGATCGAACAACAAAAAAAACTAACCATAGAAGATCGAACAACCAGAAAGCATTGTGGCATATAGATCTCACCAGAAAACTCAATGTTTACGAAGGAGAAGATTGGGAAAGGAGATGGCGAGGGAGAGAGCGAGAGATATATCACAAGGGCACCTCCGGAAAATAACCCTAAACAAACGCTGAATGCAAGGGCTCCCCCGCGTCTGATGAGAAGTAGGAAATAACGTACGTGATTATAGGTAATTTCAAAACGTTGTAACGAATGCATTATTCAAACACCTAGGCGGCATTGTGAAAATGCCGCCGCACCTAGATAAGCTACCCCAAATGGGCAAATAATCAAATAAACTTCAAATTTTTACAGTGAGTCAACAAGATTTTTCTACTCATTGTGAATAATATTTAATTTAAATAAATTAATAAAATTTATAAGAATTTAACTAACTATAGTAATTTACCAAATTATCCAAACCATTCTGATATTTTTTGTAAGATCCTCTAACCATATGGAACCTACTAAAATTCATCCCATAATTTCTTAAGTGATATTTTAGTTTATATAATTAATTTTATCCGAATAGCCACCCAAGCTTGAAAATTAGGGCTATATGCATAGAGATGCTATTTGACCTTAGAAAAATCAAAGAACACCCCCTCTATCATGAGGAAAGAACCCTCAAAGTTTCAAGCCATGGTGGACAATATTTAATAAACATAAATTAAAATACCACATAGACTACTCAGTAATTAAAAATTAGGGAATAATAAAATAGATTTTATTTATGTCTACATTATTCTCTTTTATTCACTGAGTGGTAGGGTGTTTTAATATTATTTTTATTATTTTACTTTGCATAGTTAAGGATTTTTGAAGTTCTGGAATTAATTTAATTCATAATATCCTGATTTTTCTACTTATCTAGCTCATCCTACAGTTGCTCCAAAAGGACACGCGACACTTCTCTATTTGACGCCGCCTTCTGACTTAACTGCCATGCATCCCACTATTGTTCCATCCGTTCATCCAGCGGAATCTAGAGCCTCCATTTGATACACGTGCAATTGGACGGCTCCTGGTCATCGTCCCTAACTGACTTAACCAGTAAGCTGTCCACACTAAAACCTTAAATCTTAAGATACACTCAACCAAATTGCTTTGTGTTTGTTCTTACACCTTCAAATACTCAATATGAACCTATCTATATGGTTTATCAAGCATGAAAAATAGTATATACGCATGGAGAATCAAATTAAGCCCGGAATAAGGTGAGGGCTAAATACGATTGTCTAAGAGGTGTGGACTCAATGAGATGTTTGGAGAAGCTTCATAGGAGTCTAATGAACCTTCAGATGAGTTGTTGAGCTGTGGTGAATTGTCTAAGTACAATTTTAGTCAAGATGATTTTCAATTGTTGGTCTAGGGCTATGCTAGAGGCTCTCTATGATGGGACTTCTGTGGGGGATCAACTTATCTCAGCACGGGAATGGTGTGTGCACAAATAATTAGACTTTGGTGGACTATGGAGGTGTGGGGAATTATGCCTTAGTTCTGACAAGGAATTAACTTAATAAATTAGCTCAAGGCAGTGGATTTGGTTGGCTGGAAATAGTGGGCTTGCATTTAGGGAGGTTTGGAGAAGCTCTGATGAGATTTTGGCAGAGTTTTGCCTAGGTTTCAAGCACTCTCCCCATTGGCCATGAAGAGCTCAATTTATAACCATTGCAAGTAGGTTGTGCTCAGGGGTGCTGAAGGGTGCAATGGAAAGCTAAGGTGGAGAGCTGAATGGAACAAGTGACCAATCAGGGCTTGATACATTAGCTAGGTTCAATTGGGTTCATGTTAAGGTATGGTGGCCCTCCATTTTGGCTCCTTTAGTGACTAGGGTGGCTGGTCAAGCCTAAGCTGGTGATCAGGTGGTCAGGGGAGCCAGTGAGCAATCTTAATGGAAATTAATTGGATGGGTGATGGGTTTTGGCAAAGATCTCTTTGGCTTTGGCATTTTAGGAAAAAAATCCCTTAATTTAGGCAACCCTTTGTCCATGGCTCTGATGGGTTGGGCTAAGTGGACCTAGGCTGGTCCTTAGGGTCTACTTGGTGGCTGTAGTGGTCTTGGGTTGACCAATTTGGCTAGACTTAGTTAACATTGGGTCATGGTTCAATTTTGGGTCATTTGGGTTCAAGTTGAGCTAGAGTTTGGCTTGGTTCCAATTGATGGAGCAAATTGGTATAGATGATTTTCATGAAGATTTTAAAAAGGGTTTGGGGTGATTTTGAATTAATTTGGGAAGTCAAATTGGTGGTATTTGGGCATTTGGTCAATTTTGGGGATGTTGGGTTGGAATTGGGTTTAGGTTGGGCTAGAGTTTCACTATGGCCCAATTCATGGTTCAATTTGATGTAGATGATTCTCATGAAGTGTTTTTAATATCAATTGGGTAGAAATTTTGGGGTTATGGCATTCAATTTGGTGACATGACTAATTTCGGGCAAAAATTGGGGGTTTTGGTCCAAGTTGAATTTGAGTAAAATTAGGGCTTGAACAAGGCCAATTAAAGGTTCAGTTTGATGTAGGGAAGTGTTCTAAAGAGTTTAGGATTGAAAATTGGGTCAATTGGATAATTTGGGGGCTTCAATTTGGTGAAATTTTGGCTTAGGGTCAGATTGGGGATTTCGGGATTGAGATTGAAATTAAGCTTGGATTTGATTTCAATCAACCTTGGGCATGATGAATTTGAGTTTAGAATTAAATTTGGGGAAGATTGGGATCAAATTGGTGGACCTTGGGGGAGAATAATGGTAATTGGGCCTTTGAGGACAAATTGGTGCTTTTGGTCAAAATAAGTCAAATTGGGCTCATGGGCTTGTAAAAAATTTTTTTAGGGAAATTTGAAATGATTTTGATGGTTTTGAGACAATTTGGGTCACCAGTGGTATTTTTGTAATTTTGGAAAAAATAGGGGTATTTTGGTAATTTAAAAAAATTTGAGGTTTTGGGAACTTCAGATGCATTCAAATGGTTTGAAATGATTTTTGGACAAAGTTGGGTATTTTGGATAATTTTAGGAATTTGGTCAATTTTTGGGTTTCAAGGATCATTTGGTAATTTAGGTAGATTTTAGGGTACAAGGCTAAACTGGGTATATTTGTAGGTTTGGGGGTGCCAATCACACAACCACCCTACTTGAGCCATGGAATAATAGAATTCCCTACTTTGGTTCCTCCATGTAGTGGTCTCACCTAAATCCTAGCATAGGGCTAGTGGCCTAGAAGATCGTCTGCATGAGTTTCCAAAAAGGTTAAGGGATCAAAGTTAAACATATTTGGGTTTAAGGTTGTGAGTGAAAGTGTGATGTGTAAGTGAGTGTGTGTGTGAGATTGACCAAGGCCACACAACCCAAGGCTAAAGCTAAGGCCAAACAATCCTATAAGGACTCCCCTTGAGATCCCCATACTGGCTTCACCTACTAAGTGCTAGAGGTTGGAACCAACATGTGGAACCTCAAGTTGAGCAAAGTAGAGTTTAGAGTTTCTAATGGTGAGGGTTCCTTTTCTAGTCCTTGTCGGGACTATGTTGGGGGGGTCCTGTGGAAGCTGTCTGCCGCCGTAATTGGAATCTCGTTGCCCGCTTCGGAAGAGAATTTAATATATATATATAT